GAAAATTCGCTGACCGACCACCTGATTTTTACCGCACCATTGCTGTCCGTGTGAACGAGGTCCTAGCTGTAAATACAGTCTTAGTGTAAAGGAAACCTCAGTGAAAGGATTTACTCTCTGAACCAGGAGCTTTGTGCCAAAAACAACTGTTGCTGCTCTCCAGAGACACAAAACCAATGTATTATTTTGTACACCCTTATGAGCTTCCAGGAGAATGATAAATGGAGGATAGCTTAGCCAGAAGGGTCTTATGGCTGCCGTTTATTGAGATTATGCCAATTCACTCTGTGACTAGGCAAAAAAAAAATTGTTTATTAAACAAATAATTTATAATAATGCTTTATATTGTTACCCATGTGGACCAGCATCTTACTTTCATTCCCCCACAATGCAGAAATAAGAGGGTCTGAAGGCTATGGACAACAAAATGTCACTTCTTTGGACACTTTGATTTAAAAAATCTTTTGTCATTTTGTGATGAAAGTGTACTATGGAAAAAAAGCTGCACTGCCTGCCATCCATTATAGCTACAAGCTGGATGAGTGACAAGTGACAGTTGGTGAGTCACATGGTTCCTTCCATTCTTGCCTCCTCTACATCTTTCAGCTGCGGCATAATGACAGTCAAAACTGAAGCCACACACAAATGACAACATTGTGATCAATGAAATGATACAATGTGCTGTCTGAAAGGGAAACACAGACATTGTGATATGTGGAGTGCAGCACAGGATGACAGCAATGGCAGTTCTTAAATATTCAATCCACCAAAAAATGATATTTTGGTCATAAAAGGAATATACTGGGCTGAGTCATCTGCCAGCTTTTTATATCTCTTGAGCACTCTAGCCACAACATCTTCCTTCTGGATTTTTGGCTCTGTTCTTGTGTGTCTTCCCACCTAACAGTTTTGGGTGAATTGACCCTACACAGAGCAATTCCAGACAACAATTGAGGCTAGGGTAATGCTAATGTCATCCATAAAAAACTATTACTCTGCTAAAGTGAGAAAATCCTCCATATTGATCTTAATCTGAGGTCTGTATAATCCACTACAGACATATTCCAGAGAGCACCTCACATGGTCACTAGCAGTCTGCTTCCTAAAGCCTGTGCAGTGTAATATCCTTTCCCCTTTGCTTTTTGTTTGACCAATAACATTCAAGCTTTCAAAGTTAATGTGAACCTAATTGGTGCTCTCTGCATCACAAGCAGAGGTTCACAGATCCCATGACTACAAATAAAGGATGGACTAGAGCACTAGAGCAAAGCCTGGATAAAAAAAACTGAACTACTGATTAGCTTGGTTGTTCTCACTGTATGTATCTCAGACCTTAATTTTCAGCTTTGACTAGCATGTACCTTTACTTAAGTGGAGGAAGGACCTTGCACCACATAACTGTAATTAGATCTAAAGGTCATTGTACAATAACATTGTAAAAATGTATGGTCAGTTTATACCCCAACTGAACTTTTAGTTTAATTCAGCTAAATACATTCCAGGTGCATCAAAACAAAAGGTGTTTCATGTCTTACAATTTGTTTTCTTTCTAAAGCTGGCCATACACCTTACAACCATCGCACGACTTTCGTTGTGTAATGGTTTTAAGGTAATTCAAATTTCGTACGATCTGCCCATCTTGGACAGGCAGACCATACTTGCGATCATTGCAAGCCCTCCCCGCTGAGGGGAGGGCTTCCGATGATTGCAGTGCTGACCTCGCAGTGTGCGCTTGCGGCATTCGTCTTTCGAGCACGCCACCAACCCGCCGAAAATCGTAAATTTTCGGCAGGTTTTACAGCGTGCTTGGAAGACGAAAGTCGTGAGACCTTACAGTAGAAACCACAGCACGCTGCCCATACACCTGCAGATTATCGTATGATCGCTGGTTCACCCGCGATTATCGTATGATAATCGGCTGGTTTATGGGCACCTCAAGTCATTCTGAGTAGAGAAGGCTTTCTTCTGCCAGCATCTGAAGAGGGCCCTCACTCTCTGTGGGGAAACAGCGATCTCTCTGCAGAGGTCCAACACACCCTCTGCTAAGTCAGACCTATAGCTCTGCAATCAGCAAAGCCCATGCTCCCTGCTGATTAGAGAGCTCTCAGAAGGGGACTGACTCAGAAGGGGACATGTTGGGCCTCTGCACTGAGACCAGAGCTTACTCCACAGAGTCCCACTATGCAGCATGCTGGCATGAGATAGGCTGCTTTAGAATAAGGTTACCAGATTTTTAAAATGATGAGGGACTTCCCACTTGTAACCACACCCCATTTGCAAACACACACACAAAATTACACCCCCATTTTTAGCATGCTCGGAAATGGTTGATCACAGACTTATGCAAAAGGAAGCAGACATTGAAGATGTAAAGATAAAGTTCCCCGAGGCACTATAAAGAGTGAAATAATGTGGCACAGGGGATCCTGAGTGCGGACAAATTGTGCTAACAGTGGGAGCGGCTGAAGATGCATGGTTAAATCAACCTTGAGCCTAGACTACTATATGCCAAGCATGTGTAACCTACTGAGTGCAAGGATTAGGAGTGTGTAATGCATGGCCTTCAGGGGTCAAGAGTGCATAACAAATGGAGGGCAGGGGTCAGGAACGCATGGAGCAGAGAGCAGGAATCAGGAGTATGTAACATACAGAGCGCAGGGGTCAGGAGCAAGTAACACATGGAGTAAAAAGGTCAGGAGCAAAAAATGTATGGAGTACAGAGGTCATGAGTAGGTAATGCATGGAGCACAGGGGTTATCAGTAGTAAATGCATGAAGTACAGGGGTCATGAGTAGATAATGCATGGAGTACAAGGGTCATCAGTAAGTAACACATGGAGTACCGGGGACATCAGTAGGTAACGCATGGAGTAAAGGGGATATCAATAGGTAAAACATGGAATACAGGGTGTGAAGGACCGCCTGGTACCCCGACTTGGTACCTCTGTCAGAAATCAGCTTCCTCTCTGCTGGAACCTTGAATTCCAGTGTCTTCAGCCCAAACCTGCCTAATTATTGGATAGAACCAATATATTAGGACAGAAAGCTAAACTCCTCAAACATCAGACAACACTAATGTTGAAGTGGAAACCAAGAACTGATTTATTGAAGAAAGCACACAGAGTGTTACGGTTCAGTCAGTCACACAGGGGTCATAAATAGCAGACAGTACTCGGTAACACAGGGTTCAGAGCTCAGTAGAAATGAACACAGGCTTCAGTAGTAATGCAGGGTCCAGGCCAGGGGTCAGTTTTATGTGACACAGAGTTCAGGGGTCAGTAGTAAGTAAGCAACACAGAGTTTAGTGGCCAGTAGTAAGTGATGCAGGATTCAGGGGTTAATAGTAACAGATGCAGAGTCCTAAAGGCAGCCATCAGAGCATGCACAAAACTGTCTGTATATGACTGCAGTTCACTGCCGCCAGGGATGTTTGTTTCCCAGGGACAGATCTCTCAAAACAAGGGCTGTCCCCCGGAAACGGGGACTAATGGTAACCTTACTTTAGAAAGAAAACAAACTATCGGACTTTGAACATAGTGAGGGGAATTTATCAACACTGGAGCAGACAATATCTGGAGCAGTTGCCCAGGGCAACTTGTCAGCTTCTCTGTTTAGTTTGTTCAGTTGAGATTTGAAAAGGAAAGAGAGATGCTGATTGGTTGCCATGCACAGCTGCTTCAGATTTTGTCTGCTCCAGTTTTGATAAATTCCCCTCACTGTATTTTGTTTTAATACACCTGGAGTGTTTTTAGCTGGTTTAAAGGTAAGGTTCAAATGGACTTTATTGCTGACTAAATATACACATTGATATTTTATGCAGTTGACATTTGATCCAATCATTTTCATCAATCAATTCAGTGCAACACAACAGGTACATTCACCTGCCACAATGCAATCACTTTCAATGTCCAAAAATAAAGGACAATCTTAAGTGATTGTTTCCAGATCTATAAATGACTCCATACACTTTAAAGCAATCAGAAATGTCCACACACCCTCTCCCTATTTAATCTATTTCGTCTTCGAACCAATTCTACACAATTGTTCAAATACAATGATGAAAGGGGGGAAAAAAGCTAATTTGGGGCTGGACTTTTCATCAAGGATGAAATCCATGCATGCATGGCCAACATAAGCTCCTCTGGGTGCAGACACATATAAAAATGACTCGATGTACTCTCCAAAGAATTTGCGTAATACCTCGACACTTAAGATGAAGAATCATTTGAATGGCAAATCTCTGCAAAATGGCCGAATTCAAGGAATTCCTTCAGGGCATCTATGTATGAAGAGCACTTGAGCCAATTACCTATTGACCTGAATAATCTTCCATAAATTATTACTGATGTGCAATAACAGACCCGGCATTGATAAAAAGGGAGGGAGCAGAAGAATTTTTCGGGCTGAGAGCAGCCCGGCACAGATGGGGTTAAGTAGCAGACGGGGGCTGTGGGTGGGCTCCTTATTTGGGAGAAGAGTCCCTACTCTCTATTGGTGGAGAGGGTGACACTGCGGAGGACACGGCTCCAGCTAGAAGGGGGACTGACAGGCTCGTTTCAGCACCAAGGACAGCAGCAAGCACGCTAGCAAGCAGGCAGCCCCTCTGCCTGCACGGAATAGGGGACACCCGGCACTGGCACAGCTTCCAGCACCTGAGCAATGAATTCTGCACCCCTAATTTAACACACGACCTTCCCTTCCCAGCTGCCTTCATCATCATATCATCTATGCTATTCACCCACAATCGATGCCATAGATCCTGATCCCATCTTAACACCTTACCACTGTCTCCCCCACTCATCTCCATCCAAGTCATCTGCATCGGATTCACTGGTCACCCTGCACCCCTTACCCAATGCCCAGGCACCACAGGGGCTTCACAGGCAGCAATAGGAGGAATTGGCATTCGATCTCATGAGACCTACCTAGCATTGATTGTACTACCTCCACCCCCTCCTTCAGCCCACCCACCTCCCCCCATCTCCCTGCAAAGCCAGGGTTCCCTCTGTCTACGGCATCTCAGTTTCACCCTGTCTGGAGCTGGGGAGCACCCCAAAAGCAGGACGTTGGCTCAGCCGGGGTGTGCCAAGTCCATGGACAGGATGCGCCTGTTTTTGCTGGCAGTGCTCTTTTTGTTCTCGTTTGCCCGGGCTGGATGTGACCCCAAAATCGTGAATATCGGGGCAGTACTGAGCACCAAGAAACACGAGGGACTATTCAGGGATGCTGTGAACCAAGCCAACAAGAGGCATGGTACCTGGAAGATCCAGCTCAATGCCACCTCTGTCACCCACAGGCAGAATGCCATTCAGATGGCTCTGTCCGTCTGCGAGGACCTCATCTCCAGTCAGGTAAATGAGGGTATTGGGTGGACAAGCTGGCATAGTCTGAATGGTGTGGATTGGTGCCATGTTTAGCTAGCCTGGCTCATGTAGTGCACAGATTGTTAAGATAACATGGGCAAAATGACACCTACGGAGAGGAAAAGGGTGGCATTGAATGGGCAAACTGACGTAGTCTATATTGTGTGGGTAGGTAACCTGTTCAGCTAATCTGGCTCATACAGGGCGCAGGTTATCTCTGGAAAACATGGGCACCATGATACCTACGGAGTGGTAAAAGGTGGCATTGCATGGGCAAACTATCAACGTTTGCATGGTGTGGGTGCCCTGTTTAGCAAGTCTGGTTCGAATAGGGCACATTTGTAGAGGTAACCTGGGAAACAGATACAGGGTGATATTACATGATTATGCCGACTTATTCTGCAGACTCTGCATAGGGCGCAGTTAGTGCAGATAACATGAGCTCAATGAATACTAGAGCCAGGTGGGCATCAGGTAGGCAAACTAACACAGTCTACATGCTGTGTGTAATAATGCTGTCCAGCTATAGCCTGCTTATATAGAGAACAGTTTATTAAGGTATCTCGGGCACCTACAGGTAGTTCAAGGATGGCATTTCTTAGGCATGCACTACGAGGGTACATGTTACACTCTGCATCCACCTCCTGGTCTTGGTTAAAACAGAGCACCCAGGTCCAGGCATGAACGAGACATAGTAAAAATGGGCACTGGGCTTATCATCACGTCGGCAGATATTGTCCAAACGAAGGTGGGCAAAATGGCACTCAGGCTTCCTTGACATTATTAGTGCTTCTTGCAATAAAGTGACAATGTGAATGTGGATTCGTTTTGGGCACCGTGCCACCCCTTGCAATTTAAGCACGGACATTGAATGAGCACACTCCATCTCTTGCATTGTCATATATGTCTTACGTCCTAATATCTAATCAGCGTACCCTTGAAATCTGAAGTAGGGTAATATTTGCTACAGGTCCATACTCAGAAAGATGGCAAGTGGGCATTGCCGCATCCATTGTAGGGGACGGGGTTGATGCACAATATCGATTCTCCTGTTCATGTTCTTTATAAGTATCGTTTAGATTACAGTCTGTTGCTGTTTGATGGGCAGACGTCTTCTCAAGACCCAGCAGTCAGTGTGATGCTAAATGTTCAAAGTACCATATCTAATCTAATTAGAGCACCAAGTGGATATGAATGGGCACAACGTGGGCATGCAGAAGTCTCCAGATGGGCATAGCTGTGTATAATATATGGGCATATAATGGGTACAGCTTTGTGTTATTCAATATCTGCATTGCACAATGGGTATGATGCTATGTACAGCCCAGGTAGAGTGGGCACCTTTGCCAACACAGAGATTATTTTGGTTAAGCTCATTTACAGCCAAGGAAAAGGCAGATAGTAACTGGATTGGCACCATCAGTGTAAGCTGGAGTTCTGACTTGTTGTGTGGTGAAGTCATGGGTGCAATTCTGTGTGCTGGCATTTGCTGTCCTCAGGGGTAGACAACATAGATGGGACAATATGGAATTAAGGGTCAGTGTATTACATATTGGTGTCATGTTGATACTGGGTAGAGTCTATGAACTCCCAAGATGGCCCCTGTACACTGTGTATAACACATCTTTTTCATACTGTGCTGCGTGTGACAGGACTGTATCTAACAGGGAGGAGGCTGATTGTTGAGTGTGGCACCCATGATCCATCCAGATATGCATGTTATCCAGTGTCTCTTCTCTAAGTCTGTGTGTGTGTTTGTATTATAGTGGGATATCTGTATGCCAGTCATTCACTCTGTGTGCCATTTCTTTTAATTATGCCTCTTTTCTTATATGTGTGTGTTTTATGCACAATTACAATCTCTAACGTGTGTTTGTGTGTGTGTTATTCACCTTATCATCTAATGAGTGCGTATGTGTGTGTGCACTTTCTTGTGAGTGTGACACTCTTCGTGTGTTAAGCATCATCTGATCTTGTGTATATTTTGTGTAAAATCAATTATGCTATTTTTACTTGTACATACTTTGTTGAGTGTGTTATTTTATCTCATTCGTGTGTGTTAGTTATTTAGTGTGTGTATAGGTGATGTTGAGTTGTGTATCATCTAATATGTGTGCAAGTTAGTATTTACATCATCTAGTGTGTGTACTATCCAGTATCTCATCCACTGTGTGCTATTTTTGTGTCTTTGTATGTTAGTCATCTAGTAAGTGTGTGTGTGCTATTTCTGTGTGCATGTCATTTAGTATGTTTTTCCTTATGTTTGTGATGTATCTAATGTGTGTGTCTTTATAGTGAGTATGGCACTTAGGCTAGGTTATATATATGTGTGTGTTATCCAGTGTCTCATGTCTTGTGTGTTTTGTATGTTATCTAGTGCACTATCCCTATTGTCTATATGTCAGTCATTCTACATGTGTCATAGTGTGTGTAAGCAACTGTTTGCTTCTTCTCTGTGTGTGTGTTTTCCAGTCACTCACTCACATTTATCTTAGTATCTAATGTATATATGTTGGTCATTTTTGTGTTTGTGTCATTGTGTTTGTGTGTGTATGAGAGAGAATTGTGTATGTGTGTCTGTATTATTAAGTGCGTCATCCACTGTGTTATATGTTATCTATTGTGCTGTTATTTGTGTCTGTATGTCAATGAACTAGTGTATGCTTGTTATCTCTGTGTGCACTAGTGTGTTTGATTTTGTGTTAATCACCAAGTCTGTGCTTCTGTGTATTTTTGTGGATGTGCGTGACGCATTTAAATGAGTTTGGCAGTCATCTAGTGTCTGCATGGGTCATTTAATGTACATTTCTGTGTGTGTCCTCTCTAACATGTATATGTTGTTGTGTGTGCTACATGTGGGACGCATACAATGATTTCTACATGTTATAGTAGTGAATGTATATCACATCTTGACTTAACCTCCTTTTATTTGTGGAAGGTAATGTTAAACAGTGTACAGGGGTTTGTGTCTTATATAACACAGCTTAATCTGCACACACCTCTGTTCTGTGTACACAGGATACATAGCTATGCATCCTCCAAGGAGCTTCCTATACAATGAGCACCATCACACAACACACAATGTCTGAACATCTATGCTCCCTAACATACAAGTGAGGCTCCATTTTGTGTGCAGGGTGTACAGATACTTTATATCCCATTCCCTCCTCCCTGTATCTCAGCTGCCTCCATGCATTCCAATGAACCCTCTTCTGTCCGCATTGCAGCCTTCCTCATTCTCTCCTCGCCAAATGACTACACCAGCTACAGAGCAGATCAGACACATCCTGCTAAGAAGACAGTATCTGTATGGTACATGGATGTATGCAGGCTGCGCTTCAACAATAAAGGGCTGTATATAACAAACATGATGATATAGAACTCGCAATAATAAGCCTGACTACTGAATGTCACGTGACATCCTTGTATGTCGGAGTATATAATGAAGATCGTAGAATTTGTTCAAAATTATTTTTAGGAGCCTGTCACCCTTAAATGTGCCAACCTACACACCTCTATCTATAGATGTCGTGTGTATGTGTTTTAACTGTTGTATCTGCATCACATGTTTATGTATCTATTTCTTTATCGTCTATCTATCTACAGTTAACTCTCCGTTATCTGGCATCCATGGGGATTGGTAGCTTCCGGAATAATGTAGTTTCTGGTTGCTTGAGAGTTACTATTAAAAATAGGTCTAAATAATGTCATACCCCATAATATATACCATATCATAACATAAACACTGTATTGGCTTCAGATAAATATTGAAATGCAGTAATCAAAAGCAAATTAAGAGAAATAGCCACATGATCGTTTCCAGAATAATAAATGCCGCAGATCAGCAGAACAGTGAGTACACAGGGGATTTTTTTGTCTGGTTAGATGAGGGTTCTGGTTAGCTGAATACCGGATAACAGGGAGTTTACTCTATCTATCTATCTATCTATCTATCTATCTATCTATCTATCTATCTATCTATCTCTTATCTACCTTGGAACTGAGGAAATGTTGGTATAGGAAATTTTTCTGTTTAGAAGCAGAAACAAATTGAATGTAACTGATCTTTTCCTGTTTTTAGATGTCAGTATGGATATTGTACTGGGTGTCAGTAAATGTGCTGACAGGTGAGCCCAGTTTAATGAATGACGCCAGTGACTGCAGCCACTGAATGTTTTTTTCCTGTGGCTGACCTGCCAGGCATCCATTAGATTCTGGATAACAGGCCTCAGGAGACGATTACTGCTGATTGCTTAGTGTGTGAATAAATGAATTGTAAGTTTCAGGAGTTTTCCTGTCTTCTGTCTCTGTGCAACACAAGCCGATGGCAAGATATCCATACCAGAGAGGAACAGTTATCAACAGCATTCTCCGCCTGCCAGACAATGATGACGGAATACACTGCTTGTGCATAAAGTGATAATTACTCCCGTTTGAAGAGAACATGTCCCTGTGAATGTTAGACTGCTGTCATTTACTTGTTAGACAAATGGACATGTAACAATTTTTCTTGCTCTATCAGTGGGGAAAAATCTTTTAGATTGTAAGCTCTTGTGAGCAGGGACCTTCTTATTCTCTTGTCTTGAACTGTAATTGTACTGTCTACCTCTATTTTATAAAGCTCTGCACAATTTGTTGGCACTATATATATATAAACGATAATAACAGCAATTAGATGCTCATTTATTGACAGATGCTGTCTCTCATTGGCAAGCGCTTTCGGGACCACACAGGGTCCCTTCGTCAGTCTCAGACCATTGACTTGAATGTATCTCCAGGACCCCTCCTGCCCCAGAACACATAGAACATTTTATAATGCGATACAGTGCATTCCAGCTACCAACCCTGCTGGAACACACTGGATTAGGTGTAAACAAGCCCTTTGATGTATTGGAAGCTGCCTGTAGAGTCCTGTGTGTAATTTGCTAAAAAACCAAATAGAAAAGTAAGAAATACTTTGTAAATGTGAATTGGGTGTGCTATATGAATGGGAACATGTAACATATAGTAGGGGGCAGAAAATGCACTAGATAGAAATGTCACCAGCACTACCTTTGGGATGAATTAGAGTGGAGACTGCGAGCCAGGCCTTCTCGTCCAACATCAGTACCTGACCTCTCAAATGCGCTTCTGGAAGAATGGTCAAACATCCCCATAGACACACTCCTAAACCTTATGGACGCCTTCCCAGAAGAGTTGAAGCTGTTATAGCGGCAAAGGGTGGGCCAACTCAATATTGAACCCTACGGACTAAGACTGGGATGCCTTTAAAGTTCCTGTGTGTGTAAAGGCAGGCGTCCCAATACTTTTGGCAATATAGTGTGTATATAGATCTATAGATCTATAGATCTATAGATCTATAGATCTATAGATATATATATATCTTATTTTTTTCAGTTCCACCTGAAAACTGAGTGCCAGGCAGGTCTTAAAAGCCAGTTTATTCCAGCTATGTTTTCTTAAAATGATCATTTGCATATGCACTATTTACAGTTTTGCTTTGCGCCATACATTCATAAACTGCATTTTTACATACATCTTGCAAAGCTATTTGAATCTCTAATATCTTTAGTATTTCTTGATTCCCTGTACTGCAGCACTGACCCTTGAAAAGAGAGGGCCAGCACTAGAAGCAGGTCAGACACTGTGTTGAAAGGAAACCTGCTGAGAGATGGAGAGAGCAGAGTGGGCAAAAAGATGATTAGTGTGCCCAAGGGTTTCCCTACCCTCTTTGCCACCTGATCTGGTGGAAGGGGGGTGCTGGTGGTGTATGTTGGGGGGGGGAGTTTGTGTTGGTGGTGCACACTAACGGGGGGGTTCATCATCTCAGCATCCCACCCAGCTCACTGACGTTACTGGGCTGGATGCTGGACAGGGTGTCCTGCCCAGCTCTTGGCAACCATTGATGTCACTGGTTCCAGGAGCTGGGTGGGATGCCGGTCAGAGCATTCTAGGCTGCTAAGAGCTGGGCAGGGAGATGTATGCTTGCTCTTAGCAACCTGGGACACTCTGTCTGGAAAGGGGGTGGCAGGCACACTGCAAACATTGTGCCGCTCTGCCTGCCTCCCCCAAAGAGATGCCGTCTGAGGCCTCATGCTGCCTCATTATAGGGATGGCCCTGAGTGTGCTGCTGCTTCTTCTCTGCTCAATCAGCAGGTTGGGGGGGGGTGCACTGCTCTTGACCAAGTTGGGTTGCTCTTGCATGGTGGTGTTTGAGTGCTTGGATCAAAAGGGTGGTTGCACACAATTACAAATCCTTTAGCAGCTAAAATGTTTACTGCCTTCAAATTTCAACTGTGTATAAAGCTGCTGGCCTGGAGTTCAGCTTCAAAATAAGTTTTGTTTTTTTCTATAAAGGTTCTTTAAAATGTATCCTAACTGTCTCTCAAAGATATTTTGTTCTGCTAAGTACCAACTGACTTAGGCTGACCTTAGTTAAGCAGTTTTTTTAAAATTAAAAATAAATAAATGAATTCATGGGAAGGTGGAAAGTCAGTAAGACGTGTTATCTTACTCTGCAGCAAAATTTGGATGGGGCCAGACAAACACATTGGATGGTCAGAAAAATAGAAACCCTCTATCTGCAGTAAAAGTGGGCCCACAGTCACCTAAGAGAAATCAACACATAATGCCCACTATTTCAGTTATTAGTGAGAAAAGCATTTTCTATGTCCCTCTTAGTTGCTGACTTCCTCTGACTTTATGGCTAAGATCTACCCGATGCCATTCCAGTGTACATTAGGATTGCCTCAGGGACCCATAAAGGCACCCTCATTGGACAGGCAGTGACAGTTGGTGGAGTGTAGCATCATCAAGGAAAGCAGGCCCAGTAATAAGTGAAACTAAATACCAGGGGTGGAACAGAAGAAGCTTTTCTGGCTAATAAAGCTGGTATTGGTGTTTGTGGTACTTTTATTTTTAAAGAGTTGGGTTAAGCTAAGTAGCAATTCTACCATAGGCGTTCTTATATATTGGGTTGTTTACATCAAACAAATAAAAAAATGTATAAACAATACCAATACCCAGTGCAGTTCTTCAGTTTGATCTTTACCTAAATTTACTGCTTCCAGGTTTACGCCATATTAGTCAGTCACCCTCCAGCTCCAACAGATCACCTGACCCCCACGCCGGTCTCCTACACAGCTGGATTCTATCGAATACCGGTCATCGGGCTAACAACCAGGATGTCGATATATTCTGATAAGGTATGTACACAGTGCAGTGATATTGATGGAAGCTGCACATTCAAGCTATGCCGTTTAGATTGCATTTGTTCATGTCCACTGATGAGTTTTCAAAATGGCAAGCAATGCTGGTTTTCTTGTTGTCATTTAACCTGAATGATACTCCAGTCCACTGATTAGAATGTGCTGGGGGTCGCTGATGATGGCTTCTCATGAACCTGCCTACCGAGAGCCACACTGCATGGCTTATTGTTAATAGATATGATCTATATAAGAGAAGGAAATTATCAGTTTTGAGTGACATTTAAGTCTTTAGATCATCTCATTCAGAGAATAGAAGGTGGTATGAGGCATCCAGATGAGTCCCAAAAGTTGCAGAGACAATAGCAAATGAAGAAGTATGCAGTGCTTATTCTTTCTCTTTAAAACAGCATAGTCACAGCAATAAAACAGTGGACATAAACACACACACTATAGCAGTCAAATGAACACTGCCGCACAAACTTCCTTGACCATGTGTCTCCTGGGTGTGGGATCCCACCATGGTGCCATAATCAGAAGGCCATATGCAATGTCAGGGGAAATCACAACACACAATCTCTTCTTCATACAACTGAGGAGGCATTGTACTTCACCATGACCATGACTCCCTACTTGGGCATTAGAGGGGAGAGGGACACCACCAACCCCAGGTGTAGCCATCTCACCATTCTTTGGTGACGATGATACTATCATTTTGTCCCAGACTCCCAGCTTCATCATCATAATAATTTTTTTTACTTTAGTTCCCAGCGACACCAAAGCTATATGCACAGAACGTTACTAAAACTTCTGGGTGCAAAGTAATGTCATATCATGATTAGTGGATCAGGCACATTGTTGAAGTATAATAGTGCTGCCAGTCTCTAGTCAGTTCAGGCCTTGTAGCCTTGCAACCATCCTCCCTACAATCTCTTTTTTTGAATGCCAGTAATCCCACAGGGAACATGTCTTACGCTCACGATACATGGTACAATCTGAAACTATGTAATATACGGAAACGCCTGAACTATCCAATCAATCTGTCTCCAATTAGGCAGGCCATTACACTACAACTTGGAAATTGTAGTTATATTGTAATGTATGTGGTGAGCTTTAGACTTATGTTCCCCCCCAGAAAGGAAAAGCCCCATTTCATGCTCACCTGGCAGGCTTCTCAGTGCACAGAGAACAAGTTAACCTTCTCTCCAATTATATCTGACATTTCCTTCCTACGGCAAGAAGACCTAAAATATGTACACCTCTTACATGCTCACCAGCACCTGCATATCTGCTATAAGTATTAATCAATATCTAGGCAGGTCCTTAACATATTATGATACACTGTAGATCTCTGCTGGCTGGATGTTAATGGATTATTGTGGTCCCCCATCCCCTTAATTCTGTTGCACCCAGTTTAGAAAGTTGTGTCACTGCTAAGTGCATGAGGAAAAACTGTATGGACTGTCCACAACATCATTTTTTCAAGACATATGCATGATAAAGCGTAGTAAAAAAAAATTACAGCATTAATGGTGGTTTTGAAGCTTCTTTTCACACCACATGGCCTTGGGGCCAGAAGCTTTTACAACCTACTCCTGCATGTGAAGTCTGAAAGCCTGTAAAACTCAGCAGTGCAAGTGTAAGACTTAAGAATTTGCAATAATTTGAGAAGAATGAACTACAAATCTGTTTTTAAGCTAAGTTACGTGGTGACCTCTTGCTGCTGAGAGGGTTAACCGTTTGCTGACAGTCACCTTATCAGGCTAAAGCTACACAAATAGGGAATCTTTAATAGCTCAGTCACACTACTAAAATCACTAGGAGTATCAGTTAATCACTAAACATATGGAATGAATGGCTCTCTATAGAGTAGCTCGTAGTAACATTTTGTATTGATAAATCTCGCATGATCACATGATACTCATCATAGGTGTGCGCAGCCTATTACATTAGGGTGTGCACACAAAAGTACAAACACACACGCATACATATATATATATATATATACAGGTATTCCTCACTTAACGACCGAGTTCCGTTCCTACGACCAGGTCGTTAAACGGATTGGTCGTTGAGTGAGGAACTCTATACAGTACT